CAATCGCGGCTCCACTAGCATTCCCCGGTATCTACGCCGTATTCATCAACGGAAGCGTTGACGGTTCCGTCAGCCGGGTAACTAAGCTACAGGTTGGACGGCCGACGAAACAGGGTCCAAGCCCTGCGGTAGGACCAGCACATAGGTACCTCTAGATATGTCACGGTTAAGTTTACGTGCAGCTACACCATTACAGCGCATGCGTCTTCGTGCCGTAAAGCTTAATTAGTTACAGAAATAAATTTAACTTTACTCTATTTTCTTTGAAGCATTCGGGCCTGTGGCTTTCACACAGATTCCGCAGCGGGATGCTATACAGCCTCAAAATTTCGCACCATCGCCATGTTTGTAACTGTTAACTTACGTTTCGCGCGTGATGTGTATCTTCAAGGTCCACACAAAAAAAAAACAATTTCCGTGGTTTTAGTCTGCAAGAGAACCATACCGACCGAGCGACCGCCGCTTGTCGGCGAAGTTAGTGCCAACTTTAACGGATAGAGGATGTCACGTGGTCAGCACACCGGATCCCCACGGCCGTTAATCTCGGTTTTCTAGACGGGAGCCGCTATTTCCATTGAAGTAGCTCCTCAATTATCCTCGTGAGACTGAGTGGACCCCGTTTCATACCCACTACTTCTCAGAAAATGTGGTAGCGCCGGGAATCGAACCCGGGACCTCTGGATCTGTAGCCAGGAACTCTGACCACTAGAACACACCGACAGCCTTCTTAAAGGTCCACCTATGTGCCAAATGTCATACTCCCAACTCTAGTGGTTTATTAATTAATGTCAACTCAATGTCTTACTTTCCAAACAAAAACAACAAAAAAACCTTCACAAAAGCTTCGTGTTCTTCCAAGATCTGTTACCATCCGAAATTATGTCCGTCATGACCTTATTACTGAAGATAATATGAGTCGCAATAGCTCAGTCGGTATAGCGACGGGCTACGAGTGGACTGCCTGGGTTCGTTTCCCGGCAGGGACAGGGGTTTTCTCTTCATAGCGTCCAGACCGGCTGTGGGGCCCACCAGCCTCCTATCCAATGGGTACCGGAGATTATTTTCCTAGGAGTAAAGCGATCGGGGTGTTAAACTGGGCACCCACTTCCATCTAGAGCCGAGGTCAAGAAACGTGGAGCTGTACCTCCACTCCGCCATATATATCTTCATGACACAGAGACAACTGTTATCACTGTTATTATTTTAAAATGTACGGCGTTGGGGTGGCCTGCAGGGGTGTAACGATCATACAAAATTTCGTGAAAATCGATCACCAGGTTCTAAATTTTCTATATTCATTTATTTTCCTCGCAAGAGAAAATCAGACTGAAAACAAGGGGAATCAAACCTTGTAAGTAGAAGCCCACAGGTTACCCACTACTGCAGCTACACAGGGACACAGAGCATCTCTAACCGCGCCGTTACATATTAATTAATTCGGCACACTAGCTAAAGATGATGTACTTAAAGCTTAACAGACAGCGGCAGGGGACAAAAGTGGTAACAACCCCGCTAACACAATTAACTGGTTTGGCAGAAAATTCAATCAGCCAGCAGAAACCAAAGCCAGTGTTGCCACATCGCTCCCGAGAGAACCATGAGCTGTTCAAAAGTGATACGACGCTTATCTCTGTTTGCAGACCTTCACATGGACGGGGTTTGGCTTACTTCCCTTCCAGAAGTAGACACGCGAACTTATAAACTTCTAGAACGAGCGACCGATATTCACGAAACTTGGTGTGAACGGTATGTCACTCGAGACCATCCTAACGTATTTGTCCAGTCTGTTAAATCGGTAATAACATGGACGTCACATGAAGAATGGACAAAGGCGGGGGAGGGGGCAGGCATGCATCCGCCAAACCAACATAAATTTTGAAAAAAAAAATGGAAATAATACAGGAATTATACAAAGTATTTATATAAAAATAGTTATTTTTAAATGAGGCGTCACCTATGTTACAATACAGAAGCAGATATCTCTAGAATTATCCAAGAATATCTTCAACCAGTTTAAACGTAAGATAGTAAGATAATGTTCTAGCTGTTCCCCAACCATGAGAAAACAAGGCTGGTGGCGCTCACAGATGACTGAGACCCTAGCACCAATTAATCCAAGACACTGGAATTGTGTTATGTACTGTAATTCGTCTCCGAAGAACACACACATCTGTTAAGGTAGGTAGGATTTGAGGTTCTAACACCGGTGGTTATTAAGTTTTGTCTTCTGGGATATAACGCCGTGTGTTCCGTTGAAAGTCAATCGACGTTTCGGAGGAACACGTAACTGGTCTTTTGGCTTATTCTTCGAACTTGAAGATGGAGGCGACATGTTCCTCAGAAACACCGGTTAACTTTCAACAGACTACACGGCGTTATTTCCCAGAAGACAGAACTATTGTTTTTTTACAAGATACAAAACAAAATGGCAGCTACACGAAATCTATATTTAGCTTTGGGTTTGACAGCGATTTCTAAACAAAGGAGCCGGTAGGGTGGAACTTGGTTCCTGGGTACAGATTATAAACATGCGTGGAAATTATGTATGAAACAATTACAATTATGGCGACAGTGCGAAACTTTACTTCACTCCAAAGTTCAACATCAGTTCATTATTCATAACTAATTGGAATGAACTTTAATCGCTCCGAATTCGATATACAGAAAGTTGTTTGACATGAAAGCTTGAGGCACGCAACGAAGCCTCTATACAGAATTCACTGTATCGTTTGTTGTAAGGGGTGAAAAGACAATTAATTCAGAATTACTCGTTTAGAAGCAGAGGGGTGTACTGTACAGTAGTTGTGTCGGTTTAGAAACAGTAGCATTTCGCATAACATTCGATATAATTATTGTGGGTCAATGTTCTCTAAACTGACGTCACATCAGTCATGGCTCGCATTCAAACAGCAAAGTGGCCGCACATAAACATCGGACTTAAGCGTTCTCGAGAAGCTGACAGTTATACAGAGGGTCGGAATAATTCCTGTAGTTACTGAATTCGAATATCCATCCACTTTCATTATCGTACAACAATTAATGCCAGTTCAATCCACTTTCCATCATTACAATCTAATTAAAAACAGGTTGATTAGCAATTCTAGTAACGGTAAACTAGGGCCGCGCCACAGCTCAAGCGGTTAGTCGCTGGCTTCCCACTGCGCCGGCCCGGGTTCGATCAAGTGGGATTTGTGGTGGATAAAGTGGCGCTGGGGAGGGTTTTCTCCGAGTATTTCGGTTTCCCCTGCCAATCTTCATTCCACCAATTGCTCCACCGTCACCCTCACCTATCATCTGGGGCTAGTACGATAGGCCAGAAGTGGCCGCAGTACAAGGGACTTAGTCCCAACCCACTAGCAATAAAAAAATCGTAAACTACCATTATCTTCTGTAATGAAGCCATGTAGTCGGTAATGTTCATCTGCTTCGGGGAACGCAATGCTTCCATCTTCATGGGTGAAGATTAAGACAAGCATGACAGGCAAGTAACAAGATCTGTGAAGATGGAGGCAGTACATGACTTCATAACGCCGGTGCATCATGGAAGCCAGTATACTTTAAAATCAGTTCTTATAATACAGATTACTGTCTTTTGAGATGTGACATCATGCATCTGCAAGAATGTAAACTACGTTTCGTAGACTCAAGGCAGGCAAGGCTGGGGTGACCCCAGAGCTGGTCTTGACACCATAAACAAGAGAATAACTCTTGCACATACCGCGAGTGTGCGCATTAGCAAAGCGCGTATTTTAACGAGTTTTCTGCGAAGTATGTTTTTCTTAAAAAAAAAAAGGAATTACTGAACCCGAATTCATGTTTATCATCTGTGACAACGCCGTGTAGTCCGAAGTTCACAGACGTTTCGGCAGAAAGTAATAGCTGCATCTTTTGAGTCTAAACGTCAAAGTCAAGAAAGGAACCAGAGGAAACTGTTTCTCCTTTCCGTATACTTCGACCATGAAACATCGGTGAAACTATATCGGACTATACGGTGTCACAGTGTATTTCACAGCTACAGCTGTCAGTATCGCCACTGTGTCACGTACTTCAACCGGTACGAAAAAAGCAAAGAATTTAGGTTCTCACAGCGGTAATTATGAAGAGTTCTATTTTCTGAGATATAACGCCTTGTGGTCCACTGAAATGTGGACTTTAACAGACTACACGGCGTCATATCCCAGAAGACAGAGCTTTTCAAAAAGCAAAATGAACATCTAAGTACCCCGATCAATTTAAAGGCTATAAATAACACAACATAGTGCCTGAAGGTAGGGGCACGAGGTAGCGTAGTTGTTTGAGGCACCATGCTACAAGCTGGATGGTCGCGGGATCGAATCCCGATGAGGTCACTGAATTTTTTCAATTTACCCAATCCTTCCAGCCGCACTGTCGCCCTGGGGTCGACTCTGCCTCTAACAGAAATCAGTACCAGAAATCTTCCTGGGGCGTAAAGGGCAGCCGGCGCGTAAGACTGACAACCTCACCGCCATCTGTCAGCCGATTGTCTACAAAATGTGGGAACCTAAACATCTCACAACCCTATGGGCCTCCACGGCCTCTTACAGGGATAACTTTACTTTTACTTTAGTGCCCGAAAGTTAGTGACGTGACCTGTTCTGACGATCAGAAATAGTGCCGAACTACTTTCTACCGCGGAAGGTTCCTTGTCCGAGTGTGTGCTGTTACGATATGGCCAGCCAGCATGTCGGCCATCTTCCAAAAACTGCCTGGTCGCTTATCCACTCAAATCTACGCACAGCTCTTGTTTCTCCGTATCCTGCGTACAAAAACTGCTGCCTCTCAAAGTTTTGGCACTAAATTCTACAGCAACTGAAAATCTTCCGGTGGCAATTCATATACATCGGTGTTTCTCAGACTGTGGTCCTGATATCACCACTGAAACGAAGGCAGAGACACAAACTCTGCATTTCGTAATGGAAATTTTATTGTGGGCATTGTTTTCATTCAGAACAAAATTCAGAATAAGCTCTCATATTTACCATATTGGCTTCTTGAGTTATCTTCCCGTCTGCAGAACGATCATCTGGAAAGAGAGAAAAATACCAAATTTACACACAAAGAAAACCTTTATAATAATACTCATACGTTCTGGATACCGCCGTGCACTTCACAGACAGCCCGTCGTTTCGGGATCAGCTTCCCGCCTGCGGGCTTCTTTCTTGTTTTGCTTTTGGGCCCTGCGGTAGCGTAGTGTGTTGAGGCAATATGATACATGCCAGAAGGTCGAGGTATCGAATCCCAATGAGGTCACTGGAATTTTTTCAATTGACCTAATCCTTCCAGCGGCACTATGGCCCTGGGGTCGACTCAGCATCTAACAGAAATGAGTACCAGCAATCTTCCTGCTGTTATTGCTGCTGGGGTTGTCAGGAAGTTGAGTCTGAAGGCTACGGGTCTTTCGGGTTGTAATGCCGTGCAGTTAGGAGAACAGCCAAAAGTTTCGGACCAACATTACCCCCCCCCCCCATGAAGATAAAGCTATCCCTGTAACAGCCCGTGAAGGCCCATAGGGTTGCGAGATGTCGAAACATGTCGTAGAAATACTGTCACATGATTACGGAGTGTTTTGGATTCATGACCGGATTTACTGGGCTCTTTGATACAGCGCGTGACTACATTATTACACATACACACTAGTATCCAAAATCACGACTTCAATAGCCGTTTCTCGGTAACGGCTACCAACAACGGACGTTTCCCTTTCCTCTGGAGCTTCCCTTCTCACTTCTCATTATTCAATAAATGTGAGACTGTGGACGGCCATATGAGAACTGAGTAACGCGTGTGAGTGTAATACTTTTAACTTTGTTACATGGAATTGCATCTCTTTCTCATGACCTCAAAGTAGACCAACAGTTACAGACATGCACTTGCATCATGATTCGCCACGGGCAGCAATGGTACCAGCTGGCTCCAGCACTTTGCAAATATAGAGCAGACCTGCGGTTTCGAGGTGAGCATTCCAATTATGGGTCTCTATTTGAACTGTCGCCAAATTAATTGATAGTTTTAATGAAAATAACATACAGAACACCGGTCACGGTAGCCGAGCGGTCTAAGGCATGTACTGTCTTCGCTCGCTTGGAAACCGGGATCGTGGGTTCGGATCTGTTTCCTGTGAGATACGAACTGAATTCTTATATATTATTCTTATACACTGCCGGTCACGGTAGCCGAGCGGTCTAAGACATGTACTGTCTTCGCTCGCTTGAAAACCGGGATCGTGGGTTCGAATCCCACTCAGGGCATGGATGTTCAGTTTGTGTGTGTGCGTTTTTCTGTGTTTGTGTACAGTTAGAGGCCTTGCGACGAGCTGACCACCCGCCCAAGGAGTCCTACCGAATGTGTAAGATCTAGAAAAACCGAAGTGAACGGAGAAGTTCATGGAGGTAGGCCTAGGCCCACTGGGACCTGTAGCACCAAGGGGGGAAAAAACATACAGAACGAATTAATAGCCATGATAACTTAATCGGTATAGCGACGGGCTACGGGCTGAACTGCAGGGGTTAGATTCCCGGTGGGGGACAAGGCATCTCTCCTCTACAGCGTCCACACCGTCTCTGGGGCCCACGAAGCCTCCTACCCAATGGGTACCATGGGCTCTTCCTCCGGTGGTAAAGAGGCAGGGGCGTAAAAGCATACCAGTCAGCTCCATCTAGTGCGGAGGTCAAGAATGGTGGAGTTACACCTTCACTCCCCCATACATCTTCATGGCGTAGTGCTTAATTAGGCACAGGGACAATTTTACCTTTTAGCTTACCTTGTAAGCAAATTCCGGGACAGACCCCGGACACCTTTCCACATGGTCATGGTTACCGGGGGTAAAACGGCCGGGACGTGAAAGTGACCACTCACCTCCAACTACTAGCATCGCTGTTCATTACCACGTAATCATCTGACACTACAGAGTCAGGTATTTACTGTATCATGAAGAAAAATATATTTTTTATCTCCTTTCTTGACAATCAGATACTACAATCTTTCAGTCAATTTGTTGTCTTGTGTACAATTAGTTAAGAACTGTACACTTCAGTGGCTTCAGTGGGTCACTTCCATCGACGCGTCCCTCAGATTTTTAGATCTTCTGGCCACTTTCGTCCAATTCTTCTGTGGTCGTGATGCAGTAAGAGCGGCTGGAGCAGTGGGTTTGGGTGGTTAGCTAATTTGCTGAAGTGGTTGATGCTGTGTTCTCTGATGACTTCTGTGACGTATGGAGTTTTGAGGTCGGTGTGAATGGTGTGGTTAGACACGTATCGTGGTGCGTTTACGGTAAGACGAAGAATTTTTGATTGGGTTCGTTGGATGTGATCTATATTTGTTTTGCTGGCGCATCCCCAGAGTTGGGTTCCGTATGTCCATATTGGCTTGATGACTGCTCTGTATACTAGCGGCTTGTTGTCAATGGATAGGTGAGATTTTTTTCCTATGAGCCAGTATATCTTTTGATTTTTTGATCTATTTGTTTCCTTTTCGTAAGGATATGTTGTTTCCAGTTGAGCTTGCTGTCAAAGGTAAGTCCGAGATACTTTGCTTGATCTTTCTGTTGGATGGTAGTGTGGTTTATTTGAATAGGGGGGCATTTGCCTTTTCGAAGCGTGAACGTTGTTTGAATGGATTTTGCTTCATTCACTTTGATTTTCCATCTTTTTAGCCATCCTTATGAAGAAAAATACATAAGTGAGCTGCAGAGTCGGTATAGCTTCTGGCTACTGGCTGGAAGACCGAGGAGTTGGAGTTCGAGTCCCTGTAGGGTCAAGAATTTTCACTACTCCACATCATCCAGACTGGTTTTGGGGTCCACCCAGCCTCCTATCCAATGGGTACCGGGGGGGTTATTTTCCCGGGCGTAAAGCAGCCGTGACGTGAAGCTGACCACTCACCTCCAACCAGTGCCGATGTCAAGAGAATGTGGATCTATACATCCACTCCCCCATACGCCTTCATGGAGTAGTGCTTAAGAGACAACTTTGTTACACAAACGAGCTACATCGTATCACTGAATGCCTACTGAGCCTTTGCGACACAGGACGATGTGCCTTAGTCCAGTGTTACATGTAGGCCTCCTCAGGTATGTGGGAAGAACTTCCCTTGAAGGTATTCAGATGTTGCAAGAAGGTCGACGCTTCTGTATTTCGGGGTACGTGAGGAGGGCCGACTTCTGCTGTCCCTTTCTACTGTGCCGCGATCGGCCATCAGATTACGTTCGTCTGTACACACAGACTCAGTCTCCGATCAATATGATGATAAGTACAGCCACCTACTCACGCTGGTTCATCACTCGTGGACTTTTTATACCCTGAAGATGAAGGCGATATGTTCCACCGAAACGTCGGTTTACACAATTACAGTGCAATGTTAGTACGTTAAGGTCACAGAAAACCGAAACCTACCGAGGCGGTAAATAGTCTCACTTGCATCCGGACGGTGAAGGATTCGAATCCCGTCCGGGACACCGTGCAACCTGACTGAAGTTTTTCGTGTTCTCCTCACGTCCTTCAAGGCGAGCTCCGAGATAGTGACGTCAAACAACGACGGATTCTTTCCATGTCCTCTGCAAATTATTCATGAACTAATTATCTTTTCATTTAACTCCATGCACACAATTCATTCTCGCTAAACCAAGCATCGCAGAGCCACTACATGCATTCACAGCATTTTATGGAACTCGGATGTTCATCACCGTGTTCACAAGAGCCCGCGTCTGGTCCCTATCCTGAGCCACACGAATCCGGCCCACAATCCCTTATCACAATTCTCTAAGATTCACTTCAATATTATCCTCTCATCTACGTCTCTCTTCCTAGTGGTCTCTTTCCTTCACATTCCCACAAAATCTCTGTATTCAGGCCTCTCCCATGAATGCTACGAGGGGGCGTCAGTAAATACGTCACAAATGCAAGTAACTCAGTTGTAATGGATGTAATAGGTTTTCTATGTGTATCACTAGGTAGCAGCACAGTCCAGATTCATGGCTGTCCAGGTAGCAGACGCGCATGCGCATGTTCAGAGGCTCGTTACGGGTTTCTGACGCCGTGCACATTGGTAAAGTACATACTAACATTTTGAAGGAACCTGCTGCCCCTATCTTGAGGGAAGGTTTTTTTTTAACACATTAATTATACATAAGCTGCAAAGTCTGCAATAAATGTGTATGTTCAATAAGTACTGGCTCCTGAATGACTGACTTATGCTCAGTGGCGTTCACTTAGGTATCATTTTAATTCTTATATTGGGGTTTTACTCAGGTCTGTCTAATAGAATTAGGACGGTGTATCTTTTCAGTTTATATGTAATTTCGCTATTGTCTGGCAGGTTCACTGTTAGTGCATTAGTGTGGCTTTCTAATTTTATTAAATACAGAGTGTTCAGTTAAGGAGGAAACTTTGCAACACCGCTGACCCGGCCCAACACTCCTCACAGATTGCTGCTGTAACTGCTGATAGCAGAATGAGTCATTAGCGCTGATAAACGCGGGCCGTTACAGTTACAGCAGCAATCTGTGAGGAATACTGGGCCCGGTCAACGGTGTTGTGAAGTTTCCTCCTTCATTGAACGCCCTGTATTTAGTATTCCCCTTTTTTATTTCACTGAGCACTGTGTTCGTCTGTAGACCTTCGTGGATCCTGTGGCAGTTTATGTGTCAAGGGGCGTTCAGAATGGATCGGAGAGTCTTGGATTGAAAGCGCTGGAGGGTTTCGATGTTGGAATGAAAGGCTGCCCCCACAGCTGACTTCCATAGGTCTATATGGATTTGAGCACTGCTTTGTAAGAGGTAAGAAGTGGACACGAATTCTTCCTGACGAGAGACGGTGGAGGCAGATGAATACCTACCAAAGTACAAGGCGTCGAATCCCAGAAAACCGTAATTATAACATCACCATTCGCCGTTACGTATCAGCCACGGTACAGGCTCCCGGCTCTGAGCTTCATTAAACACCGCGCCTTGAAGACGTGTCTATGCTTGTGGAAGGGCAGGTATAGCTCATTATCAGGGCCCGGATTCTGATGACATGTCATCTTTTT